GTTTAGGGTTTAGGGGCTCTGGGGTTTAGGGATTAGGGCTTCTAGGGTATTTGAGATTTGGGTCTAGGGATCAGGGTTTAGGGGTTCTAGGGATTTAGATTTTGGGGAGTAGGGGCGCGAGGGTTTGGGGGTTTTGGATTGGGCTTGGGGATTATAGGGTTTAGGGTTTCAAGGGTTTTGGGGCTTAGGGGAGCTCAGGCGTTTAGACTTGTTGCTGGGACCTTCTGGCAGAAGGAAGCCTGCCACGAAGTGCTTCATCATAGCCCACCCTGAAGCCTAACACCCAAGTCCCAAACCCTAAACCCCTAAACCCCTACGACCCTAAACCCCTAAACCCTAAACCCTAAACCCCTAAACCCCTAAACCCCCATTAAATCCTAAGCCCCGAGCCCTGGAGCAAGGATGTGTCCCAGCTAGCAGACCTCTATGGATGTAGTACCGCGCTCGGCGGGGCTTGTCATCCTCCAAGCGACGGATCGAGCTTCCTCGTCCCTCCTCAAGATTATGTGGTTTAGGGTTGTTCTGAAGGTCTCTTTAGGGACGGGTCACAAGGAAATGGATATCCTTGTTAAAGGAGATTTCAAGAAAAGGAAGCTAAAAAAAATACTAATGGGCAGGTGTTTGAACAACTACCACGTGAAGAAATTAGGGGCGTGCCAAGAGTTTAGGGTGTGGTGTGATCACTTCCCCTAAGTAAGAATGATGGAGAACCAAATGGAAAATGAAATGGCAACTGAGGTTACGCAGGGGTTATATGTAGAGATTGTCTCTCGCTAATTTAGAAACACCACTCCCCTAATGGTACATCTTTGCGCTATTATATCATGGGAACATAGGGGTGTATTCCTAATCCGGGAGGTGGGTTGTTGCTATTTATCAGCGGTAGTATGTAGATAAACAAAGAGGTGTTCCAAGAGTCCACTGAAATACATATATCAGACATATGCCGCGGGGCATTCATTGTGGCTCAGTCGCTTACCCAAACCCTAAATCCCAACGAGATCGGGAGTTATCCAAATCAAGGCTATCCCATTCAATGGAACCATATTTCCAGCACTTATGAGCTGTAGTCTAAACTTCTTAAAAGGGCCTTGTATAGGGGATGATATAGGGGAGTATTATGGGGGTTATGAGGTGGGATACTGGGAGTTTAGACGAGAGCTCATATCATTTTTTGCATTTCTGGCTCTGAACACAGGCTGTCCTGACCCCCGGGGCGGTATTCACCGATGAGGGCATCCCTGCTGCACACAGATCCGTTACCCAGAGGGTCCATGTACCCAATAATTATATGAGCTATAGTCTAAATTCCTTAAAGGGGGTTATATAAGGGATTATATAGGGGACTATTATGGGGCTTATTAAGGGGGATACTAGGAGTTTAGACAAGGGCTCATATAAGTTCTTGAGTTTTGGGTAAGAGCAATTATGGTACAGGTTTTGGGCAAGTATATGATCATTGCGTACCAGGACCCTTAGGGACACAGAGTGGCTGTAGCACAAATGGAAAACCAGATTTATTGACGGGGTGATAATGGCCAGCGGTACAGTTTGTTTCTCTGGCCGTGTATGTTTACATGGGTTGCCACACCGAAGCTCTATGCTAAAGGCACAGTTTAGGGTTTCGGTCTTACCAGAGGGGCCATGGCTTTTTTTTTCAAAGGTTTGGCTCTACCCTGGTTTGGCTCGCCCCTT